CCTTAGAATAAAAACATCTGAGTGGCTAATGTGCTATTCCAAACAGTATAGAGTAATTTAAAAAAATCCTGAACGAATCTGATAATTTTTTCTACAACATAGAAGAGGTCTTGTAAAACCAATATTTCGTTGTACCAAAAACACTTACATCGCCTTGAGCAGACGCAATCTTTGACTAAACTGTCGCACAACTATTGAGTCCTATGATCCTTTGATTCCTATGAGCTTATATGGAAGTGCACACAACCCGATTTTTAGTTGTACAACTAAACAGTTGAATTGGCTGCGAAACAATCGACAATTGTACAACGGTTGTGCGATAGTTTAGTCAAAGGTGTGAGCCGGTTTTTAGATGCTTTATCTACTTACTTGTACATATACGCGCAGTGGTACGTACTGGGGCAGGTGAGGAAGGAGTCCGGTATGACGGAGTGCAGTGAGCGGAATGCAGCAGCGAAGGAGCCTACCACGCTGGGGTTCACATCGGGGTTGTAGTCGCGGGTGTGCAGCGCGCTCGGTACAATACGGTAGTACCGCAAGTAACTCTCACCTAGGGAAAGAGATCACTGTTGGCTTAAAACAGCTGGAGGAACGTCTTCTTCCAGCATAAATTTAACATCAAAATGTTAAGTGTAATTGGAATTGTTAAAAAAACGATTGGCAAACTAAAAAGAACTCAGTCTGTAAACACTCATGGGCGGAATAAGAAACTGGATTGGCAAACATAAAAAAAGCATATATAGGAGAAAAAGATAACTATCCTAAGTCAATTTTATTATTAGATTTTATGCGATTTTGAAACCAATATCTCGGCAAATCAGCTTCTTATTATAAATTATCTAGAAGAAAAAGAACGTATACTAACCAAAATTCAAAGGCAACCATTCCTGGTACGTAATATGCTGTATTTCCGCTATGACTATCTTCCTCGCCTCCTGGTATATCTTCTCGTCAGTCCACAGCGGGTTGAGGGAGCTCAGGATATCAGCCACTCGGTTGTGCTCTCTCAGAAGCAGCGTGTGGATCACTGCTAACGTTGGAGTCTGGTTCACTCTGCGGTCTCCTACGATCGAAGTAAAAGACGTTTTTAATAACAGCAACGGCGAATCCAGGGGGGTCATGACCCCCCTGAGCTAGTTGTCAAGAGCTTGACAACATATTTACATATTTTTCAAGCTCTTGACTTGACCACGACTATGTGACCACCTCCCTAGTACCAAAGCTGGATCCGCCCTTAAATACCAGTATACCAAAGACATCTGCAATAAGTTAAACATTGCATGATCTTTAATGGACAGAAAAGAGGAATTTCTAACTAACTAGATGTACTTTCTCTGCATCAAAATTACATTATCATTATTGCTTTGGATGATAGATTTAAATTAATACTAATCCATACTAATATGATAAAGAAGGAAGATTTGTGTTTTTGTATTTTTGTATATATTAAGTAATTCAGAAACTAATGGGCCAATTTCACAAAATCTTTCACCATTAAAAAGCTACGTTATCAGTGAGTTACATACGCTATATTTTATTTATTAATTATACGCGAGCGAAGTCGCGAGTAACAGCTAGTATATTATAGATAGATTATAAATGACATTACAAATTTACCAGCAAGATAACAAGGATCTGATGCGTTCCTTAAATCACAAGTCTTTGCATCAGCAGTCGGCAGGAAGCCGCGCTGACATCCCTTTATGGTCTTCTCCTTCAGTCTGCCGCCACTCTTCTCCCTCAGTTTACTGGCGAGAATTGGGTCCGAGCCGTACAGAGGAGAACCATCGAGGAAACTCGTCACTGTATTCATCTGAATCAATTGGAAAACTTATTTCAAACATGAGTTTAGTTTTAAATCTTACTACCTTGGTCCTTCGAGCCGGATAGCTAAGGCCTTATGAAGATGCATTGGATGTATACATGACCAAGTTTAAACTGAGTTGATAAAGGTTGATAAAAAGACGAGAAAGAGCAAGTCAATACTGACTATATGTCTTGATAGATTTATATAAGCTTTGGACAAAATTATTTGTTATTCTCAATAGATCTTATATCTCTTTCTTACCTGTTCCGCATACCCCAAGCTGCAGTCATCTCTAGGCGTTGTAACACTCCTTACAAAGTTTATGCAACGAATACCGTGCTGTTTATAAAACGGGTCGTCTTCTGGTATGCAGATCGGAATACATTTGTCGTTCTGCCACTCCTGGGGCAGCACGTCCCGCCCTCCTCCGTAACAGCATTGGATACCTCCTTCATCTGTTAGATACAGACAGGTATATCTCACTAAATCATAAATTCGAAAGGTAAGATGGATGTCTGTAAGTGTTTAGCCTAAACGGTTAAATCGATCTTGATGAAATTTTGCATAGATGTAGTGGTAAATCTGGAAGAACACATAGGCTACTTATTTGTTTTTTTTTATTCTACGCGGATGGAGGCACGGACAAAAGCAGGTTTAATTATATAAAATGCTGTGTGCATTTTTATTTATTAGGAAGTTTGTAGATTTTGAGGTTAGTTAAGTGTTCAGTGTATAAAAGATAAAAGAGCTATACCATTAACTTCCATAGCTTGAGACAGTAAATCATGTGTAACGAACTGTCCCCATTGCATGTTCATGTAAGAGAGGGTTCGGCTCGCAACGGACCGGTCCGCAAATAGTTGCGTCGACAACGCCCTCGGGTTCGGCAAGGGCCGGCCGCTTACTGCTAATGGCATAGCGTAGATACCTGAAAGATGTTAAGGGTGCATACACAAGGCTGTTTTAAACACGGAACCAAGCACAATAGTTTAATTATCAGGATATTTACCATCGCTGTATCTCGGGGCGGCAATTCTGGAAAACGGCGCGCCCGCTCGTCCCCAGCCTGGATGCTTCACGTTGTTTGAAGTGCCATCTATGGTCCGATATTTAGATTTGATATATGGAGTCTTGTACGGTTTACAATACGCTACATCGGTCACTCTGATATCTTGATCTTCTAAACACGTCATAAATGTGTTTGGAGTTATGTCGTAACTGAAAGGGTTAAGTTTTTGATTGATTACTTGTTTGAAAATATTTAAAATGTTGTTAAAAAATATTCTAATTAAGGTATTGTTAAGTAGAAAATTAGTACCGCGTTGTAGAATTGGCGCAACACTAATTTATTGGCATAAACGTCACATCTCTAACTGACAGCTGTCAATGTCATTAGAAGGATTGAAATATTCGCGCGCATTCCTGACGAGATCTCTGGTGAAGTGTTTAAATTAATATCGCTAGCTACAATTATAATAATTGTTTAAAAGTATACGCTTCTGCTAAGATGAGTCATATTAGCCAAATGCCGGGTTTCGAACCCACGACCACTTAATCTGTAATCCGTTTTAGAACAGATAATACAATACTATTGTCGCTTCAAGTGGCAATAAAAACTCTTTCTGTTTAAATGTGGGCAAATTCAATAGTAATTGATAATCTTAACTTTGATTACCTTGAGCACACTTTCATCTGCAGAAGTTTGGTAGCTGTCAACAATTCGTGGGACACTTCGGCCGACTTCCTCGCTTCTGGAGACAGCTTCGCGGAGAAGAAATGGAAAAGTGCTGGTGAGGAAGCGTCCAAGCAGACGCCGTTCTTTGCTAACTGTGTGCCGCGTTTACTCGCCGCGCGCGATAGCTCACGACCGCATTTCAAGCTCTCCTTTACCATCTCTTTTGTAATCAAGCCTCGCTCATCATTTAGGTATTCTATAAAAGATAATAGATTTGTTCCAATAGTGCTTTAAAATTATATCAGTCAAATATATCGCATGATATCGCGACTACTTACCTACATTTTTCGGTTGTACAATTTTTCAGAATTTGCACTGTGTAAACATTTGTTTTAAAAAATATTACTTTTATTTTTTCAAATAAAATAAAAAGTAACGTATTTTTACAAAATCATAGCGAAAGCAGAGAAATACAGAGGGTACATGTTTTATGCCAGTGTTGCGTTTTGAGAATGTTATGGTTTTAAAAAACTTACCAAGTGAATTAGGTGTTAATAAATCCTTAACTAAAGATGTCGCGCTTGCCAGCATTGGACAAACGTCCGCTATTAAATCCTCCAGTAAAAATTCCCAGCCAGTATTAAAACAGCCACTCACACTTGTCACAAAAAAATAAATTAACACAGAAATCACTAATACGTTTTTACTCCCGCGAAATATAAATATAGATCCCATATTCAAATATTTAATTATATTAATATTTTGTCCTTTATTTTAGCACAGTAACATGTTTTTTATTTAACAGCACATTTTTATTTTTCATTCCTGGCCAGTAAGAAAAATATAAAAAATGATTATGACCGACTTCAAAAGAGATCAACTTGTTTCAAAGATTTTTTATTGAAATAGAATAAAAAAAAATTACGTATGCACTTGGCAAAATTTGACCACATAATAAAAATTAGTTTAAGCTGTGTAACACAATAACTTATCAAGTCACGTCCCTGTTGACGTAATAAATTTGAACAATAGGGTTATGTTTTACTCCTTTATTACAAAATACAATTTTGTTATCGTGTGATTGTTGCGATATTACTTAGATGCTTGCAATTAAATTAATTTGACCTCAGAATGGCAGAAGTTCTAACTCTCATTCGTTATCAACAAACTCTACATGAGATATCTTTTTTAAAAATGTATAAAACAAAATCAAATTCAAAATCCTTAAAATCAATGTTTTATGCTGTTCGAATATTAAGTCAGCTGGCCCTATTTCATAATTGTACCGTATTTGAAAACTGATTCATCTAATTGATGTATTTTCAACCGACTTCAAAGGAGGAAGAAGGAAGAGGAGGACGTAGAAGTTCTCAATACGACCGGTATTTTTAACAACGCTTAGGTCAACAGCGTATAAGATAAAATGTTACTTTAAACAATTCTAAGAACTCTATTAAATAACATTTGTTATAAAGAAGTGTGTAATGTATTCGATAACATTGTTAGGTATCAATGTAGTGCGCAAGACGTAGCTAAAGTCTTTTGTTACATTTCTGATAAAATGGCTGACGCATAATTTTAAACTATTACAAAACAAGTAACTAAAAACAAAAAAATGTTACCAAACATTTTTCACAGTTAGTAAATAGAAACAGAAGTTAAACTCACATAAAATATTTATATTATTGAGGTTTAACAAAAGTTATATCTCAACCAATTTTCTTAATTAAAAACATAATCACAATAAATAATCACATCTAATGTGTAAAAAATAAAAAAAAATCACCAACGTAAACTAAAGCTTAATTTTTTTACTTGTACGAACGTCTTGAAAACGTGATCCCAGATTTTCGAACTGATGCCGTACGCTGTAAAAAACATCACATTAATTTACAGATAACACGAAAATATTAAACGTATAAATTACAATAAAATCATTTGTATAATTATTATTAATTAAACATACTTTTTTTACTGACTCTACCTATTTTTTTTACATTTGAAGGCTATGACATCACAATATGGCGGGAGTTCATGAACATTCTTATTTGAGTATTTTTGGGCCTGTCTAACAATTCTTGTAAATTGTCAAAAAACAATCCAATGTTCAGAATATGTGATGGCAATATCGGATTTGGGTACTCTATCTGACAGTGACGTAAGCTATCTGAACCTCTATCAATCAGTGGTGGGACAGGCCCTTAAAGTGATAATGTCGACTGCTTGCCCGGTTTTAAAAGAAAAAATATATAAGCTGCGTCAGAAGGTTTGCCAATGACCTGCATCCTGCATTCTGTTCTGTCCCGTCAGTAACAGTAACGTGACGTCATTGCCATTGGCAAAACTTCTGCGCACAATATACTTGCCTTTGTCATGGTTAACGAAGTGATGGTTGGAATGATATCTCTTCATAGCATAGAGATAGGTGCCGTCTTTCGGCGAACCGTGGTGCACGTAGTAATGAATCATGTCGTAGATAAGATATCCTATACCAAAATAAAAGAATTGTAGTATTTTAAAATACACATAATTTTAGTGCATATAAAGTGCTAAATGACTACAATGTTTAGTGGTAGTATCAGCACCATATTTAAAAAAAAAGAATCAGAATGTTTTCGGATAATATTATAGGTAAAAAATGGCGCTAGTGAGCTATTATAATTTAGTTTCATTTGCGGCTTTTTAGTCTGATTTATTTGGTGTAAAAAGGTAAATAATTTTTTGCATTTTGCACAAAAAATTACTACACATTTTACAATCATTTCAAAAAAATGACGAAAACAATTTTTATCAAAGTTTTGACATGCACGTGGCTTACAAAAATCTATCACATTTGGAGATAAGATGTTCGTTGTAATCGATTGCGTATCAATGAGTCATTAATATTCTACCTAACGGTCAAAGCCCTTTCTAACGAAGACATCACCAGCTCACTACATGTCCCCACCGAGGGGCTCGGAGCCTACCCTAATATGGGGTGACTAGCCCATAGTTAACCTGGCCAAGTGCGGGTTGGTTGACTTCACACATATCTTAAAATTTCCTCACCGATATGTGTAGGTTGCATTAAGTTGTTTTCCTTCACCATAAGAACGTCGGGTAAATTATGTACATATGAAAATTCGAAAAATCGAAAATCGCATTGGTACATGGCGGGATTCGAACCCAAGACCTGTAGATTACAAGTCAAGTGCTTAAACCACTGAGCCACCGAAGCTCCAATGAAGACATATATTTCATGTATATCTTCTTCATTATATTTAAAACTAGCTTTCGCCCGCGACTCCGCCCGCGTGGAATTAATAAAAACAAAAGTGAGTAGCCTATGTGTTCTTTAGGACTCTGCATCTCTACCAAATTTTATCGAAATCCGTTCAGCTGTTTAGGTTACAAACCCTAACAAACATCCATCCATCTAAACTTTCGCATTTATAATATTAGTATGATACATATATGATATATATTTTATAAATATTAGCACAAAAAACTATAGTAAAAATAGTATGACCCATATTTTATTTCTTACCTATTAAGCCACCAATCAATTTCATGATAGGGTAAGACAAAAATGGGTAGAGTATATTGTACAACAGAAAAGCAAGTAATGCAGCGGGAATTGGCGGAAACACCTGCCTGAGGCCATCGAATGGAACCTGAAAAAACAATAGAAATTAACAATAACGTATTTAGAAAACAATAGGAATATGCCACACAGACGTTGCGGCAACGCAGCTGAGATCTCAAGCTTTAGGAGTCAGAAGGACGTGCAACACTGAAATACAATTTAGTAAATATTTTCAGGAATCAAATTTTAAATAGTCAGAAGTAATCAGTATTTGAAAGCAACGTTGTGCTGCGTTATAGCATTTATTTGTGTCCTATTTGAGTATCAAAATAATTGGCGGTAGTAGAATTGCTCGTGTGGCATCTCTCATACACTTTTTGTTCAAGTCATTACGATATAACAAAACAATAAAATCAATATTATGAAACACGCTTTCAATCAATTATTATTGACACGGCATTGTAAACGTTTTTAAACAAATTGTTCTAAATTAAATGACATTAAGTTCGAATAACGTGACTATGCAATATTTTGATCAATAATAATTTCCTTGATTGATCTATAAGTAAATACACTATCTTAAAAGATATCGAAAGTAATCTATACTTTTATGGATACATTATTTGTGTCTACTTATTTCTGTACTAGCTGCTGTTCGCGATTTGTCCGCGTAGAATTAAAAAAAATAGGAAATCACAGCATATGTGACAGAGTGACAGAGCCTTTTAATGGTGCAAGAATTATTAAAATCGGACCAGTACTTTTTGAGTTATTTTAATGAATATAAAAGTACAAATATTTCCTCAATGTTATATTTCTGTATTTAGGTATTTGAAATAAAAAAAAAACTAATTAAGTTAAAAAAAACCTTTTGTGATATATTGCAGTCTAGAAATAAAGTTATGTTTTCCTCTTATTATGAGCATGATAAGCTGTAAATTCGGAATATTTTTTTAATAAACGGATGTTCAAGTTAACTTTTTGTACAAGAGATTATATGTTCCGCACCAATACGAATGTTTTTTTCTGTTACACTAATTGCTCGCTTGACTTACGCTATACCCAAGTAGTCCGCGGTACTACGTGTGAAACATACCTTATGGTGAATTCCGTGAATAAGGAAATGGATCTTTATCAAGATGAGATTAGAACCAGGGCTGAAATGGAACACCCATCTGTGCAGTGAATATTCCAGAATTGTCCAAATAAGTATTCCGCTCATTAAATGTAGTAAGTACTGCAATGACGTAAGTCTGTCAGATCCACAGGCACCTGGAAAAATATAGGCAATTTTGAGCAAATTTTAATAAAGAGCTTAGGAATCTAATGTTTTTTTTTTTCGTAAAGTTGGTAAAACCAAAATCAGTAGAGAGAAACCCTAAACACCATTATGTTTCTGTGTATTTAACCGTATTTTTTTAATTGATCATGTTTAAACTATAAAGTATTTATAACAGACGTAATATCTTGTCGTGTCAATATCGTGATGTCAATAGTTTAAAACGAAGTCACGAGGAATCACACTTGCAATTTTTCTATCATATTTTTGCAATTATTTTGCATAAAATTTGATTATCGAAGATTAAGAGCGTGCGCACACTTTTGACTAAACGATTGTCGATTGTTTTAAAGCCAATTCAAGTGTTTAATCGCACAACTAAAAATCGAGTAGTATGCGCACCTCCATATAAACTCATAGGAATCAAGACTAAACAGTTGTGCGATAGTTTAGTTTCAGGTGTACGCACGCTCTAAATAAGACGATAGGCACATACACACCGACAATCAATCAAAATAACAAAAAAAAAGAATTATCAAATTCGATCCACTAGCGGCGGAGTTACGCCGTAACACACATAAGAAAAAAAAAACATATAGACGAATTGAGTACCTCCTTCTTTTGGGAAGTCGGTAAAAAGTACAAATAAACTCACCTCCACAGTTAACATATTCACCATACGTTGTCACCATCAAGTAAATTATAATAGGTATCCAAAACGTGGGCACTAAGTACCATTGTGTGTACGTCATACTCTCCATAATCGGATTGGCAAACAGCCTGCAATCTCTGAAGACAGCACTGTGTACCCATTTATCATAATCGGACCCGATCGCTCCCAATTGACAGAAGATCGGCTTCGACCAGTCCAGTCTGCTCTGGAAGGAAACACAATATTAGTTACAAGTTAACCGAACACACATGTGATTAACGGCCGGTCTCAATATGCAATTTTATCAATCGAAAATCCCAATCCGTACCCTAATCTTTTGAAATACTGTCTCAATAAACGAC